CTCAAGCTCTATCAATGTACACACCAGCAGAATGGGGAAGTAGGTCTCTAAGGAACCTCAAGCTCTAGTGACACGATCCATGGGTTGGCTGTCCCACAGGTAGTGTAACTGACAAGTAGAGGCAGAGAACTAGCTAAAGCAGGTGCACACTGGTCCAATCACCAGAGAGCAAGGGAGACAGGGGTGGACCTTGCAGAGCCATTTATCCCTTTGTCCTCCATTCAAACTGAGACCAGATTCATCTCACATGATCCTATTGGCCAGGTTGGCACAATAAACCTACCTGTCACAAAGGTGATGGGTACCCATGGTGAGAAGGGTTGCACAACTTGATGAACCAAACTGTTTCTGGGGCAAATGCTGACCTGGCAAGTGTTCTGTCACATGATCTCAATGGAAAAATGTGTTCATCCTCATAATTTATGATTTAGCAAGTGTTCCCAAGGGTAGGAGGGGAGAGGAGGGAGGGAATAAAGAGGAGCTGATAGTAAGGGCTCAAGTAGAAAGATAATGTTTTGAAAATGACAATGGCAATGTATGTACAAGTTTGCTTGATATAATTGATGTATGGATTGTTTTAATATCTGTAAGAGCCCCCAATAAAATGATTTTTTAAATGAAAAATTGTTTTTAAAGGATGTGGGCCCACAGTTGCTTCCAGGAGACAGGTGTCGTCTGATCTTGCACACAGGCCTCCCCTCAGACGCGTCACACGTTAGGAAAGAGATGGAAATCCCTGGTGACAACCGATTAAGTGCCTGACCTCTAATGAAAGGTTGGCAGTATGATCATCCCCAGCAGCTTCACAGGAGAAAGATCAGGAGGTCTGCTCCAACAGATCCCATCTAGAAAACTCTGCTGGGGGTGGGGTTGGGATGGTAGGGGTAGTCTGGTCCTACTCTATCAGGATGGACTCCATGGCACCCAGTAAGATTGGGGTGCATCCGTTAAAATGAGCAAACAATTCCATTTGCCATAGCATCTACTGTGAGTGGGTTTCCTGAGATGACTGTCTCACACACCCCTAAACAGTAGTGTAGGCCGAGCCTGCATCTATCTCCATCAGCTGAAGTAGCCTCCTTATTCCCCACAGGGACCACGTGGCCCTCTGAGGTATGAGCCAGGGCATAAAGGGCCAAGGGGAAAGTCAGGGAAAGGGTTACACACAGCTTGAAGAGTAAACCAAAACCACACTCACTGCCACGGAGCAGATGGCAATGCATAGTGACCCTATAGAACAGGGTAGAACTGCCGCTGTGGCCTTTATAACTCAGTATCACCAAGCAAGAAAGGGCTGGTGGTTTCAAACCACCAACCTTGCAGTTAGCAGTCCAACTTGTAACCACTACCCCAAAACAAAGCAATGGCTGCTAGAGCACAAAAACCAGGGTGGAATGTTACTAGGTCCGAAGAGGGCTGGGAGCCTGCCTTTTCTCTGCCTCGCAGACACAGGCAACCCTTGAGAGTGTGGTGACTGCTGCTGGCTGCCATCAAGTTGGCCCTGAACTCACGGCAATGCTATGCCCAACAGAACACAGCCTGGTCTTGCAACGTCCCCACGGTCGATTGCAGATCAGACCATTGTGATCCACGGGCTTTTCACTGACTGACGGATTCTCAGAAAAAGATGGGCAGGTGTTTCTTCCTAGTCCGCCTCTCTCTGGAATCTTCCATGGAAGCCTGGTCAGCATGATAGCGATATATATACATGCCTCCCATGACAGAGGGGTGAGGGGTGGTGGCTTGCTCCCAGACACATCAGCCAGGACTCAAGCTGAGTCTGCAGGCCGGGTCACCTCAGTACTTCCCTCAGTCAGATTCACTACAGTCAGTTCTGCAGAATCCTGACAGATCGGGTGTCGACTGACAGGAGATCCGTGTCACGCTGCACTATTCAGGTCGTCGAGGAGGGAGGCTCTCTGGCATTGCAGAGCACCTGACCACTCATGTGCCAAACTGACTGGGGCAACCACGCATGGTCTCAGCATCACCTGGGTGCTTTCCAGCTCTAGACCTGGTCTTGGTTCATCATGGGGAGTCTATTGTCCCTCAGTCAGAAGCAGTTAGTCTCTATGTACAACTTTGCAGCCTTTGACTCTACTTCCCCTCTTATCCAGTCAGAGGACCTCATGGGCACCCACCCAAGATTGTATCTGAGTGCCTCCTCCCTGCCCTGGCACTCGCCCCTGCCTATGGCTGGTGCTCGCACTAGAGCGGAACTCCTCAAGGGGAGAGATTCCGGGACAGCACCTGAGACCTAGTTCTCAAACAAACAAAAACAAAAACCCTCCAACTCACTGCTCCAGTCAAATTTGCCTCACAGAGACCCCATAGCACAAAGTACAAGCGCCCCATGGGTGAGCAGAGAGCCTCACCTTTCTGCCACCGAATGGCTGGTGGTTTTGAACCGCTGATCTTGTAGTTAGCAGTCCAATGTGTAACCACTATGCCACCAGGGCTCCAAGAGCTGGAGCTCAAGAAAGGATGTCCCACCAACCAATGGAGGCTATTCACCTTGGAAAATGACAGTCGTAGGGCTGAAGACAGGGCAGCGTGCTCTCAGAAGCAAACGGTTGTGTCAGTGGAGAAACCCGTCAATACTTATCAAATTAATTTGGGCTCAGCAACGGGAATATGCAACACTCACGTTGTTTTATACCAAATTCCTCAGGCTTAGGGATCATTTTAAAACCAATAGTCATATTTTAGTCAGCGATTGGGCCTCACCAGCATAGCTCTGCTGTTTGAAATTCCTCTAGCACACTTGTATTTCTTCTCTCCTGTCACGGCATCCGGATTGTGGATCCACACGTGGCACCGGCCTGCCAGTCTGGTCGACCGCTCCTTCCTAAGCTGCTGGTTGCAAAGCCTGGACAACTTCCCTTCCATAAATGTCCCCGAGGAAAAGTGGCCAGACCGGCCTCGTAATTCATCGACACGCATCAGGGTAAGGTATAAAGTCTGAAGGTGGTCCCTGGGGCCACCAAGCTCAAATGGTGGCCCTCTGGGCATTACCAAGTTGAACAAAGAAATGCCTCTTTCTTAAGATGCAAGCATCCTTCTTTTTTTTCTGTTTTGCTAGCTAGCTACATTCTTGCATACCAATCCCTCACCAAGGATGTTTCAAATTCCAAGGTTCATTAATTTAATTGAATCTGTTCCTAATTTTTAATTACATCTGCATTTCTGCCAGTAACCTTTGCAAAGAAACAGGAGCTATGCACGACCATGTGGGGGTGCGGGG